GTGACCGCTGGCCTGTAAATGAGTGAAAACTGCAGAGTTCTGGCCATTAGACGTAGCTCGTCTGTGTTGGGACATTCTTTTGAACAGTGGCTGCTTTGTTTCCCCAATGTATAACTGGTCGCAGTCCTCCTGGCACTTAACAGCATATACAACATTGCTCTGTTTGTGCCGGGGCACCGGAACTAGAGAAATTGCACTTCCTTGCGAAAATGCTAGTGTGAATGCTGACTGCTGAAAACTTTAGCAGAAAGCTGCTGATGAGGCTTAAGTCAAGCTGAAAATGGTAATGCAAGTTCAATTTGAAGCATAAATAAAGAAGCATAATACGCTTAAATTATCAGGAAAAAACTAGAAGAAGCAGAAAAAGGTTAACTTAGCAGAAAATGGCCAAAAGCAGCAGAGAGATATCTCGAAAAGCAGAAAATTTTAAAAACAGAGTCTGAATTAAAGCCCTTTGAAACTAGCTTTGACAGCCATCTTGAACTTATTATTTTTTTACTACTATTTGTGATAGAGCTCATTCCAGTATACCAGTTTTTAGCCCATTATAAACTGAGATTGTAATGCAGGAGCACTATGACAAGTGATCTGAGCACAGGACTGAGAAAGTGGTTGACAATGGGGCTTATGACATCATGTGGAATATGACCATCCCTACTGATCGTACCATCCCAGCAAACCGGCCAGACATTGTGCTCCATCACAACAAAATATGTTGCTTGCTTGACCTGTCTATCCCAGATGACAATAACATCTTAAAGCAGAGAAAACATCAAAGTACAAGGAACTGGAGATCAACGCATGTGGAACACAAAAACTCAAGTTATACCGATTGTAAGTGGAGCTTTAGGAACATCGAAGTGAGGATTTCAAGAGCAACTGGTCAAACCTCTGTGTAGAGTCTATGTCAAAGAAATGCAAAAGACTGTGCTGCTAGGGACCACTCACATATTTCGATGAGTACTTGACTGAACACCAGTGAGTAAACCCGAGGGTCCTGGTTGGCCCCGAATGTACCACTATTAAAGAAATGCTGAGAAATAATAATAATGGTTTATAAATACATTTTAATCTTCTGCTGCTTTTTTAAGAGATTCAACACAACCAGTGCATAATGAAAACATGGAGAGTTCATTTCTTCTCAAGTGGAACAACAAATTTTTAATAAAGAAATAAAAAAGAAACAAAGAAAACAACAAAGTTTGCTTTATTTGATTCAGTTAGGAGTCCAAAGCAGCAGCATTTTGAAAGCTTTGTGATCACATTCTGAGGAAAACGCTAATAAAACCAAAGCTGTAACATCTCTCCAGGCATCACCAAGCCGAGCTGTTTCAGTGAAATACACTTTTCTAAAACAACACCAAAACTGATCGTATTGTACTAGAAGGTCTTTGGTGTAACATAAGGTGTTTCAGTATCAGATCATTTAAGACAGCCTTAAAAATAATTTGATTTTATTATTTAAATTGAACTAAAATTCATTTTAAACTATACCAAACAAGCACAAAAAACATGGAACTGCATCCATGCACAGGCATCCTGATATGATTACTAAAATAAATATAAATCAAATTAGATTATATTGCCTTTTTAATGTGTTGTATAATAATTGTTTTACATTTTTGTTTAGAAACATGTTGAGGTAAACAAAAAATGTAAATGTCAGTGATTATTAAAATGTTCGACAGATTTCCAGGAAGATCAAGCAGAGTCCTCTAGAGGGCGCTCTCTTCAAACTTTAGGTCTTTTTTTTTTAACTGAAAGTGTTTCTTAAATCTCAAATTCTACTCATTAAAATCAAACAAATCTGTCGCAGATGATCTACCATACATGAATTTTTAATGATCATAGAGTAACACTTTCGAAGCTCAAAACCTTCCTTTAATGTTGCTTTAACTCACACACATGTTACACACACAGAGGTGTGAGGATTATTGTGTCTAACATTACTGCTATCTGTAAACAGAGCGTGAAGACACAACAGAACCAAGTGTTGACTCTCTACAAAAACTCTCCATGTTTTCAGCCCAAACTCTCAGGAATAGTTTGGGTGTTCGTATCTGTGAGCCATGAGGCTTTGATCGCATCAAAAGGCCCAGAACAAAATGCTTTGATTAAAGTCAACTCTGTTTGACTGTTAGCAAAATATCTCATGAACTGCTAGCTGAATATTTATGAAACTTTTAGAAATAATCATTGAATGTAAATGTAAGCTGATTAACCTTTGGAGTTCATTCAATTCACAATGACCACCACAGCCAATCAAAATCAGCCAGCACGGAAATAACCATATTAACCATTCAGTCAGTTTTAGTTTGACCTAAAATTTGAGTCTTTCCCAGCACACATTCGAAGTGTGACACCCTTTAATACTGCACGTCCTAAAATACAGAAACACATGTCCTAAATGTTCCCCATTTATGAAATAAAATATTCTCATTGCTGACACACATCCTGGTCACATGACAACTCAAGTTTCAGCCAACATTTTCAGAGAAGTTTCAGTTCCTTCAGTTAATTTGCAGCATGCCTCTGTGCATCTGTGTTGCTGTGGTAAATCTGGAACGTAGCATTAAGCCCTTTTAAACTTAAAATAATGGGAGATTATTGGTGTAACAGAATAATCTTGGCTGCCCTTTATAGCATAAAGTGAATCTTTTTGTCCAAACTGATATAAAAATAAATCATTTACTATCTTATTACTAATCAAACCTGATCAGTCATAAGTCACCTGTCAGGATTTATGTCATGAACTTTTTTTGCTCAATGCTCAAAACACTTTGGGGTTGATTGCAGCTGGTTTGATGTCAGTTATTTTCAATTATATCCATGACTTTTTTGATGTTTAGTAACTCAGACTTTCAACTTCTTGTTTCCTTTTGCTGACTCTGTTGTGCAACAAGATGCCTTTCCTCTCATGTGATGCGTGGAGCTTCTGGAAAGCTGCCATATAAAAATATAAATAGACACTGAAGTTCCTGATATTTAACATGAATGCTACTTTTCTTTCAAAAAGGATTATGGATAATTTTAATACTGTATTTTTGTGCCACACAAGTGATTAAAACAAATCATTTCATGACTGATTTTATTACTGAGAAAAACAGAATCCCCAACAAAGTCAGTCAAATAAATTCCTGTACAAAATAAAGCAATCCCATCTACACTAACTGTACCAAACCAGTGCATGCATTACCTGTTTTTGCCACAAAAATCCATCAAGCATAAACATTTATAAGTACAACCCCAATTCTGAAAAAGATGGGACTTTTCTTTAAAAAGTAAAATAAAAACAGAATGCAACGATTTGTGAATTTTGTAAACTAATATGTTTTTTTCACAGAGGAACGTATTAAACAAATAATTTAAACTGAGATGTTTTGCATTTTTTTGTTTGAAAAACAGGATAATTTAGAATTTGATGGCAGCAACACAAAAAAAACGTGAAAGCGTTCTGTTAATTAACTGTGAAGCAAGGAAATGTCTCCTTCCTGTCTAATGTAAAAGTGTAGCTGTTAAACAGTCCTGGGCCTTCTTTTTCAGATTTATTTCTACATCAGAGCCCACGTTGTTTTAAAACCTGCACACACAATCATGCATTGATGGCGTCTTTCCAGAAAGCCCGTGTCATAGACATTAATGCACCCCCATACCATCAGAGAGGCAAGGTTTTCACCTGCGATTTGCTAACACAGATGATGGTCCCTCTTCTCTTTAATATGGAGGATCTATAGTTATTTAAAATAACCATTTCTGTATGGTGTTCACATATGGCTTCTTGTTTTCATGATAGAGCTTTAACCATCATTTGTGGATGGCACACCATAACCTAACTGGTAACAAAATGCTTTTTTAGCTGCTTCTTATTTGCACCAAAAGTCACTTTTACAGCTGTTTTTGCCAATTTTTCAGCTTCTTAAGAAGTGTTGCTTTATTAAATTCAAAATTATCTTTTTCAACTTTTTTCTTAAATAGTACAATTTTCATCACTAGATAAGTTTATTTTGTTACACTGTGAGTAAAATCTGAATTTATGAGATTTGCAAATGAGAGTTGTAATTTACATGTTACACAACATCCCATTAAATTTACATTTTCTTTTTCAGATTTGGGGTTTTCCTAAGCAGCTTAAAGTGGCTTATCATCACCAACAAACCATTAACCATATAGTAAGGCTATAAACACAGGAAATATTCAAATCAAAAAGTTGAAAAAATTTTTCAAGGTCAAAACATATTTGACTCCAGCATAAGGGACGTAGCAAAGTCAGTGCATCTGTGACATTTTTTCTTTGTTTGTTTGTTTGCAAAAACAGCTTCAGTTGCCTTAGAAAGAAAAGGTCACAGTTGAAAAAAAAAATGCATTAATAAAAACTACAGTAATGCATCAGATATATACAAAACAATCTTAATGGTTCTAGTTAAGAACATTGGTGATGATTAAAAGCAATTATAATGAACATGAAATCCATAACTCGACTTGATTTTCAATATTTCGCAAACCCAAACATTTAAAAATAATAAAGAGAAGGGAAAAGAAAAGGAAAAGCGATGTTAGTAGTTGTGCATAGAAACAGGTTCAAATAGTTGAATGGTAAAAAAAAAGAATTCTGTTTGCACTTTTAAGGAAGAATGCAGCCGTTTTTTGCCTTTCTTATTTACCTGAATTTATTTAAGGGTTAAGGTGAGATAGAGTTTTTAAAGCTGGCTGAGTTTTGTAAGGGTCCTGGGACTTGCACTTGTTCCTATAAATGACATGCACACCTTGATCTGCACCGTATGTTAGTGTTTTGTTCACAGCCTGCAGTAAAAAAAAAAAAGTCTAACTCTTGCCAAAATAATTTTATAAAACCAATCAAAAGCTCAGGAAAGTTTTCCAGGAAAGGCTCAGGAAAAGGGGCTCCAGCTGAGCTTGCTGATGGAGATGAGTGTCTGACAGGTGTTGGATGAGAGCCACACCGTCTCCATCAGACTGAAGTGGAGCATGCCCAGCGCGAAGCCGCACACCATGTCTGTTAGGTGGTGCCTGCCCAGGAGCACCCGGGACATGCCCACCAGGAAGGCCCACAGCACCAGCAGGATGCGAAGGGGGACAGCCAGGACCAGGTGGGACAGCAGAAACTTGGAGACCATGGCTGCCCGACTGGCGTGGGCCGCGGGGAAGGAGTACACGTCCATGGCGACGCAGTCCAGGAAGCCGGGCGTCATCTCCCAGGGTCCCCTCCGCTTCACGAGTCTCTGGACTCCAGCCACCGTCATGACATCAAGGACGAGGGCTGTCGAGAAAAAAAGGAGAGTTTGAAAAATGATAATGCAGCACTGATAAAATAATATGGAAATACTTGTCTGAGTTAAACCTCTAAAGCAGGGCTATTGGCCCATGGGTGACATCTGTTCGACCCACCAATGAGTCATCCCACCCAGCAAAAACAAAAAAAAAAAACAAAAAAAAAAAAAAAAAAAAAAAAAAAAAACTCAAGTATTCTATTTGATTTCCTCTACGATTAGTTAGGCCCTTCACAACGTAAAATACCAATAAAAGTACAATGTGACTGTATATGAAAGTTAATAGAAAAATGGGTGTAAAGGACCAAAAGACTGGAGTTAAATGCAGACCTTGAATAACATAAATATCTATGAATATGTGCGGCGAGGTGCCTGACTTCCTGCAGTTATTATCCACACTATGAATTCTTCTGCAGCAAGAAATACTCTTCAGGTATCAAATCTGTAAAAAGCAGCAAACTAATTATCTGGTCAATAAACCTTTATGGTGCTACAAATGAAAGTTATCGTTGACAAACATCATATTCACTCATGTGTTATCATCAAACTCCCACCGCCATGCTTCACTAACAGTCAGAACCACGCAGTCCCAGCTGTAATCCTGGTTAAGCTTTTGTGTAAAACTTTTTCATATTTTTTTTATTTTTTGCATCATCTAACAACAGAAGGCACTACCTAATCTGAGGCCTTGTTCTAGTTTTGCTGCTTTGTGACAAATTCTTGAACATGTCCATTGAAGTTGATATTGTTGTGTTTCTCTCACTGTCTACAGTTCAGCTGTATAAGGACTAAACCATATGCATTGACATTTAGAGAATGACCAGTATGGATAAAAAAAAATAAATGGTACAGAGGCATGTTTAAAATTTCTCAGTTTTTGCTTCAAGTGTACCTCCATTTTTTATATCGAATTATAAATATATATTTTTTCAATTACTTTAAATTAAATAAAATTTAATTAAATTTCCTGATTAGTGCTTTAGGACTTTTGCTAATTAAAAAATTTATTAGTGGATTATCACTTGCTAAATTTATAGGTTAAATTTAGAAGCACTAACTGAGGTTTGTAAATGTTATTGATCAACTTTAATGTCAACAGCTGAGGGTTAAAGCTGTCGTACATTTTCTTCATACGTGTGTCACTTATCCACCAAATGACAATATGTTGACAATATAAACCCAAATTTAGCTGTGGAATGTCAATTATAAGTCATAAGAGAGCAACATGGCAATATGTGACTCATGTCTGTTGAAGAATGTTCATGGGTTGACTGGGTTATTTTAGTGCTTTAGAATTAGGGGACTTATGTGTGAGTTAGTGTTTTAGGGTTAGTGGAACCAATTTTTAGATTAGTGCTGTGCACCGCTGCCAAAAATGGTTAAATTATTTCCAGTAATATTTCCAACAGGGGTGGAATAGACATGCTCGTGCTTTGGTGAGTCTGAGAACAACTGTAGTAAAATATGTCAACAGATACCTTGGTGGCCGAGAATAACAGGTACAATAATATTAGACCACATTTGTCTCAGCTCACATGCCAGAGATTTGTGGAGACATTTTTAGAACACACTCCCAAACATCCCCACCTTTGGTCTCATTTGACTTCACTTAGATCTGTGGGCATATCTGAGTCTTTTTTTTTTCTTTAAACAAATCTCTGCTGTTTGTGTTACATCATATAAGATGATTTTATTCTGCATGGGATGAATTCAGTGAAAAGTCAAACATTTTTCTGAGCAACATTTAGCACAATGTCATATTTAATGTTCTATGTGAGCCGAACTCCATTTGTTTTGATTATTTAAAAAGAAAAACCCTTCATCAGTCAAAATGTCCTGATGCATCTCAGTAATCCAGGTAAAAAAATCAAAATGAAAAAAATTGTATAGGTCTTCTGGACGGGTTCTTCTCTAATGAAACGTTTCGTCTCTCCTCCAAGAGACTTTTTCAGTCTGAGAGTTTCAGGCAAAATTCAGGCTTTTAAGCCCTGCCTCCTCTTGTCCTTTGTGGCTCCTCCCCCAGTTTACCCGCCCGGACACCGGTGGGTCTTGGAG